CAACCAAATAGGACAGGCACAAAACAACTAGGGTCACAGCAATCACTTTACCAGGAGACCCCAGGCTTAAGGGTATTAAGGAAAGACACAGGTCATTGATTTGTGGCATATGCACAGTCCATGTGGAAAATGAGCCGCCCGTCACAAGGTCTGCAGCATTTATACAGTTTTTGCGGCTTTTTCCCCATTCTAGCTGGTCCCGGGTGGGCATGTTCAGCACAAACAGGAAGTGGACAACACCACACTACAAGAAGTACAAAACACAGCCGTTTAGAACTTTTTCAAAGCCTCTTTGTCCCATTCAAGAGAAACAGCAATTTCTTCCCAATAATTTTTACACTATCTGCTGATCGATGTCTCTAGATGTTTGCATTAGTGAACCCTCCCTAGTAGGAGCTGTTGCCTTTTCTTTTCCATGCAGTTACAAATTCTCCCTGCATGGAAGCCGCACGGACAAGAGTTGAAGCCTAAAACGACATAATGTGGCTGTGCAGGCCTCGTGGACGCATCAACCAAGCATTTGTCATTTCCAGTGCAAGACAATGCCTTGGAAGGCCACCAACTATGGATGAAGTACTCCCACCTCTATAAACGGACACAAGAGAGCCTAGAGTAGCCAGATTGGTGTTTATCTATTTAATGATCCCCATTAGTGTCTACGAGAAAAGAGACTACTCTTCCTGGGGCTAAGGACCTATTCCTGGGGACCACAGGTAAGCAGAAAGCAACCGATGACACCGCAGCACAGACCAAGCCCCCACTCAGAAAACACCACACCAAATAAGACACAAAGAATGAGCACTGCTAACCACGGTCCTGGGGGTTGCATTGATTGGTCACTCAAGTATAACTGAACTCACCATTGCAAAACAGTTTCTAGGAAGTTGGTACACAGTTTGTAGCGCCAATCCAAATAGTAGGTTGGCTCTGAAACTAAAATGCATTGGACTGCCAAAATCACATCTTTTTAATTAGAAAACCGGAAAAAAAACAACAACCCTTCTTTTCAAGAAAGTATTAATTTTATAAATTAATATAATTCGGATGCTCATAAAGCCAAAACTAGTCTGTGGTGAGTAATCTTGACAGCTTAGTGGTAAGAGAATTAATGACTGCTGTTCAGCATGTTTACAGGTGCTGGTCATAAAATTAGAATATCATGAAAAAGTAGATTGATTTCAGTAATTCCATTTAAAAAGTGAAACTTGTATATTATATTCATACATTACATACAAACTCATATATTTCAGATGTTTATTTTGTTTAATTTTGATGATTACAAATGACAACAAATGAAAATCTCAAATTCATCATATCAGAAAATTAGAATATTGTGAAAAGGTTCAAAATTGATGGCCCCTGGTGCCACACTCTAATCAGCTAATTAACTCAAACCACCTGCAAAAGCCTTTAAATGGTCTTTCAGTCTAGTTCTATAGGCTACACAATCATGGGGAAGACTGCTGACTTGACAGTTGTCCAAAAGACGACCATCGACACCTTGCACAAGGAGGGCAAGACACAAAAGGTCATCGCTAAAGAGGCTGGCTGTTCACAGAGCTCAGTGTCCAAGCACATTAATAGAGAGGCGAAGGGAAGGAAAAGATGTGGTCGAAAAAAGTGTACAAGCAAGAGAGATAACCGCACCCTGGAGAGGATTGTGAAACAAAACCCCTTCAAAAATGTGGGGGAGATTCACAAAGAGTGGACTGCAGCTGGAGTGAGTGCTTCAAGAACCACCACACACAGACGTATGAAAGACATGGGTTTCTGCTGTCGCATTCCTTGTGTCAAGCCACTCTTGAACCACAGACAGCGTCAGAAGCGTCTTGCCTGGGCTAAAGAGAAACAGGACTGGACTGCTGGTGAGTGGTCCAAAGTCATGTTCTCTGATGAAAGTAAATTTTGCATTTCCTTTGGAAATCAAGGTCCCAGAGTCTGGAGGAAAAGAAGAGAGGCACTTCATCCACGTTGCTTGAAGTCCAGTGTAAAGTTTCCACAGTCAGTGATGGTTTGGGGGTGCCATGTCATCTGCTGGTGTTGGTCCATTGTGTTTTCTGAGGTCCAGGGTCAACGCAGCCACATACCAGGAAGTTTTAGAGCACTTCTTGCTTCCTGCAGCCGACCAACTTTTTGGAGATGCAGATTTCATTTTCCAACAGGACTTGGCACCTGCACACAGTGCCAAAGCTACCAGTACCTGGTTGAAGGACCATGGTATCCCTGTTCTTAATTGGCCAGCAAACTCTCCTGACCTTAACCCCATAGAAAATCTATGGGGTATTGTGAAGAAGAAGATGCAATACACCAGACCCAACAATTCAGAAGAGCTAAAAGCCACTATTAGAGCAACCTGGGCTATCATAACACCTGAGCAGTGCCACAGACTGATCGACTCCATGCCACGCCACATTGCTGCAGTAATACAGGCCAAAGGAGGCCCAACTAAATACTGAGTGCTGTACATGCTCATACTTTTCATGTTCATACTTTTCAGTTGGCCAACATTTCTATAAATCCTTTGTTTTTATTGGTCTTCAGTAATATTCTAATTTTCTGATATGATGAATTTGAGATTTTCATTTGTTGTCATTTGTAATCATCAAAATTAAACCAAATAAACATCTGAAATATATGAGTTTGTATGTAATGTATGAATATAATATACAAGTTTCACTTTTTAAATGGAATTACTGAAATCAATCTACTTTTTCATGATATTCTAATTTTATGACCAGCACCTGTATACTGGCAGCTTTGAGTGAATATTTCTGAGTCAATGTCTGGCAACAGAAGCAGAACAAACTGCAAATATGATAGCTTTTTTTAGTGCATAAATTGTCTAAACTTAGTGAATAAACAAGTGAATGAATGTCAAATACAGATAAGAACTTCACCGGTACATACAAACAGTTTAAAGTCATACCTTTCTACCAGTGAAGCTCTTATAGATTGAGTGTCTGAGGGTAATAATAAGTAATCAGCAGACTTCCCCTGGTGAGGCTCTGTCCTGAGAGGAGCATTAGTCTGAAATCAGCCTGTTTTCCCATATAGTACAGGTGCTGGTCATAAAATTAGAATATCATGAAAAAGTAGATTGATTTCAGTAATTCCATTTAAAAAGTGAAACTTGTATATTATATTCATACATTACATACAAACTCATATATTTCAGATGTTTATTTTGTTTAATTTTGATGATTACAAATGACAACAAATGAAAATCTCAAATTCATCATATCAGAAAATTAGAATATTACTGAAGACCAATAAAAACAAAGGATTTATAGAAATGTTGGCCAACTGAAAAGTATGAACATGAAAAGTATGAGCATGTACAGCACTCAGTATTTAGTTGGGCCTCCTTTGGCCTGTATTACTGCAGCAATGCGGCGTGGCATGGAGTCGATCAGTCTGTGGCACTGCTCAGGTGTTATGATAGCCCAGGTTGCTCTAATAGTGGCTTTTAGCTCTTCTGAATTGTTGGGTCTGGTGTATTGCATCTTCTTCTTCACAATACCCCATAGATTTTCTATGGGGTTAAGGTCAGGAGAGTTTGCTGGCCAATTAAGAACAGGGATACCATGGTCCTTCAACCAGGTACTGGTAGCTTTGGCACTGCGTGCAGGTGCCAAGTCCTGTTGGAAAATGAAATCTGCATCTCCAAAAAGTTGGTCAGCTGCAGGAAGCATGAAGTGCTCTAAAACTTCCTGGTATGTGGCTGCGTTGACCCTGGACCTCAGAAAACACAATGGACCAACACCAGCAGATGACATGGCACCCCAAACCATCACTGACTGTGGAAACTTTACACTGGACTTCAAGCAACGTGGATGAAGTGCCTCTCTTCTTTTCCTCCAGACTCTGGGACCTTGATTTCCAAAGGAAATGCAAAATTTACTTTCATCAGAGAACATGACTTTGGACCACTCACCAGCAGTCCAGTCCTGTTTCTCTTTAGCCCAGGCAAGACGCTTCTGACGCTGTCTGTGGTTCAAGAGTGGCTTGACACAAGGAATGCGACAGCAGAAACCCATGTCTTTCATACGTCTGTGTGTGGTGGTTCTTGAAGCACTCACTCCAGCTGCAGTCCACTCTTTGTGAATCTCCCCCACATTTTTGAATGGGTTTTGTTTCACAATCCTCTCCAGGGTGCGGTTATCTCTCTTGCTTGTACACTTTTTTCGACCACATCTTTTCCTTCCCTTCGCCTCTCTATTAATGTGCTTGGACACTGAGCTCTGTGAACAGCCAGCCTCTTTAGCGATGACCTTTTGTGTCTTGCCCTCCTTGTGCAAGGTGTCGATGGTCGTCTTTTGGACAACTGTCAAGTCAGCAGTCTTCCCCATGATTGTGTAGCCTATAGAACTAGACTGAAAGACCATTTAAAGGCTTTTGCAGGTGGGTTGAGTTAATTAGCTGATTAGAGTGTGGCACCAGGGGCCATCAATTTTGAACCTTTTCACAATATTCTAATTTTCTGATATGATGAATTTGAGATTTTCATTTGTTGTCATTTGTAATCATCAAAATTAAACAAAATAAACATCTGAAATATATGAGTTTGTATGTAATGTATGAATATAATATACAAGTTTCACTTTTTAAATGGAATTACTGAAATCAATCTACTTTTTCATGATATTCTAATTTTATGACCAGCACCTGTATATCCCTGATGCAGCGATTACTGGGGCCTTTCTGGAGCCAGGTGGAGGTTATTTATGACACATGGGAATCCACAAGGGCTAAGGCGCTTGAACTGAAGAGGACCAGGCTGAGAAATTGAGCTGAGTCAGCACAGAAAGATGCTGACACAGCAAGACGGCAAACTCTGACTTCTGCTCTCTCATTTACAGCTTTAAAACTTTATCACTTCATCTGGAGTCTGATTTAGAAACTGCAAAATCCTTAAATGTTTTGCTCTTTTGTCCTTCAAAATTGAAGATGGTCAAATCTGAAATATTTCTGCATTTAGTGACTAATAACTACACCCCCACCTGGTCATCATTGTTGGTGTGTCGAAGAAGATGCTTGAAGAAGTCCAGACGGGAACACTTCCTGACCAGGATCAGGTCTGTGGTGCCATCAGCGAGGTGGGCGGAGGGCGACAGGCCTTTTGGACTCCGAGGACAGGCGCAACTCATGCTGGCCGAGTTGATGGCAATGAACTTACCATGGATCACACTCCAGTCTCCTTCGCCATCTAAAACACAGAAACACAACTAATTGTTGCAACAAACTTGCATAAAAAACTGCATCTATCAGTCGAAGAGAATAAGATCTCCTTGAATTTCATCACAGTCAGTAATGCCCAATCCTTCACCATTTGCATAAGTTAAAATCCAACATATGTATCATATTGTTTTTTTTGTGGCATTTAGCTGGAAAATGCATAATGAGACTCATTCAGGTGTAAAGCCTATAAAATTGAGTTTTCCTGTTGCTCATTCATGTGAACTTTCATAGCCAGGGAAACCTTATCTTTTGAAATTACCATTTCATATTCTCATGTCTTGTTCAAAAGCTTTCTTTTTCCGTTTTAGTATAATTAGAATAAAACATTTTTAATGTTTGTTAGCCTTTCGTGATAAACTACCTTGTTTACATTCATCCATCATACCTTTTCTTATCTAAAATCAAGTCAAGATGGCAACCGGCCTGAGGGAAACCCAGACAGCCTTCGTCTTTGGATCTTATCAGTTCTGAGGCCTTGATATGTATAGAGAACGTGCAGCTGATGTCAGCCAATCACGTGAAAGCCGCTAGTCCTCGACCATGGATGGCAAAACAAACCAGGTGTATATAGAACACGCCCAGTAGTTATTGCAGTGTTTCTCCAAATCACCTTGAAAATACCAACAAAACATGGTACTCTCGTGCTCAGCATACGGTTTAACTATCTGTTGTTATAGCCCTACGGACAGTACGTCCAGCTCGCTCCCCTCCTTCCAGCTGACTGACGCAGCACTCTCCCCCACTTGATATACAGTAGCAGCCATTCAAAATAAACCTTACCGGTCAAATGCCAGCCGAATGGCAGCCTACTCCCCTGCGACTCCCAGCAAAAACCCCTCCAACTTCCAGCCACTGGAGTGACCCCCTCCTTCTATTGGGCGTGCATTTTTTTTTTTTACTCTGACTCCACCCTTTCACTGAATTACAGGGTCTGACCACGAGATGACGCTTCTCTTTAGATCCGAATGTCCACAAATTATGACAGAAAGAATATATTAGTACAGAGATTGATGTTTGAAAAGGAATTGTAGGGGACCAGCCCTGGACCCATCAAGCAAAGTGGGGAAATTTTAAATGGCTGCTACTGAACACAAAAAAGCTGTAAGCATCTAATATCTATAAGTGCTTTTCCTTAAAAAATTATGACCACCGACTTAGCAGGTGATTATATCAGTCATGGTAGACGAAGTTGTGGATGTCCAAAAATGGCTGTCTTGAATCAGAGAAAACAAGCAACAGGCAAATTATAGACATTCTACCCTTAAACAAAGCCTCTTTCCCACTGAAATTAACAGGTTGACCGAGGTGTTTTTCAAACATGGAATCAACCAGCTAACAATCTGCATTTGCCTTCCTTTTCATTTGCAAAAATCTGGGTCTAATCCTCCTTGACAAGCCATGTGGCCTTTGTCCTCCATCATCCAGGGTTAGTATTGATGCTCTCACCAGTGCACCATGTTTGGCGATTGTAAAGAGAGGTGTCACGGCTTGTTAGATCAGATGTGACAGGCACTCTATATAATTGGACTTTATTGATCTAACATTGGAGAAATTTACCTCTGCAATTAACCCATCCCGTTGGGGAGCAGTGGGCTGCTATTGTGCGGTGCCCGGGGAGCAATCAGGGGTTAAGGGTCTTTCTCAGGAACCTAGAGTGCAGGCTGTGGGGATCAAACCGGATAATTGCAACCTTTTCAGAGCACAACCACACTGCACTGACGTCCATATGTTGCGTTCAATGGTGTGACTTAAAAAAGCGTGTCAACCAGGGTCAGAGCCGAGGTGATTTTAACACGCATAGCTTGGGGAGACGTGGGTCGGCGAGCTGTTAACACTTTCACCTAAAGCCAATTGTTCCTGGGTTTAAAGTGTTTTTGGCCAGTGGGAAAGGGATACAAGAGAACTTTTTGTAGTGTAGTGCTGTTTAACTCCCCATGTAAAGATTTAACATATTTAGAAAATGCTGGTTTGGCAGATTCTCCACTCATTTTGTTTAAGATGTCTGGATTATTAAGCATACCAGCAAAAACAGACAGTGGTCACGTGACTGCAGGTCCTCTGTCACTCTCATGAGCTCTGGGTGTAGTAGGACCTTCTTACAATCCCCAGATGCAAAAACCATATCAAGTTTGAGGAGATATGAGATTAGATGACCCTCCAAATGTTGACAAATTCATTTAGATGGTGCAACCTCACATATCTGCCTCTTGTGAAACCATAAATCATCCTCTTTAAGTCCGGGTTCCACGTATCAGTGCTTCATCTACAATGTTCTTCTGTCTGTGTTGTAAAAAAGAGAGATTAACGGAAAAGTTTTCTCTTTGGCTAAGTTTTTTTTATTGGCCATTGTTTGGAGATACTAACAGGACCTCACTCTCCTCTCCCAAACTATGTTTTAAAATCCACAAACACCTTTGGTCACAAAGGCAGCCATTGAGGAGTTGTGTCTGATTGAAATTGGTTGCAGGCTCAATTTTGTGCAGAGAATGCCGACGCATTCTTGCTTTGGTTGTAAAAAGACCGGATAGCCCTCACAGCCATCTCATTAGGTGTTGCAGAAAGTTGGCAATTTAACCAGCAGCAGATTTTCATTTTCTACAACCTGTTATTCTATGCGGCAGCCAAATCTCCATTTCTGACTTCCGGTAAAAATTTCTGTCCATGAATAGTTTCTAATCCAGTATCCAAGTTGTTGATTTTGCGCTGGTTCATTGTCTATTTTTTTCTTTGGCCAGTTAAGTCCTTTGCCACTTGGTTTCTACCTACTTCTTCTGCCTTATGAAATTTACCCTTCTCATAAAATGTCTTGAGGTAACCCGCTGAGTTTGTGCATTCACTTACAACAGCTTTCCTTTCACTATATACCCTAAAGTCAAGATTTCCCATCCCCTCAAGGGATCTAAATAAAACAGAGGCCTTTAGGCTCTTTAAATACCTACAGATTGAAAATAAAAATCTACCAATAATTGGCTAAAGATTGGACTTTTTGCACTTAAACTTCAGTCCAGAATTGCAGCACATTCCACTTTGATATGTTTAATCAAACTAAAAATGCACCGGATACTTTCTGTTAACCTAAAGTACTTTAGTAATACAATTTTGGACAAACTACAGATACTAAATAAAACGATGATTTGTTTTGGCTTCAAATTATTGCATATCATTTGTTTTGAGTTTGAGCTCCAAGTTTCTAACTTGGCAGCAGTGAAGCTGATGGAGGTCCATTAAGATCCAGATGTCTTTGCACTAAGGCTCAGAGCAGCTTCAACATCATGATGGAGGTAAAATCCAAAATGTAAATACTTACCCTTCTGTTTGCAATTAAGTTTGGCCAAGCAGGAGTTCATAATGTCTAAAGAGTAAACTCGATAAGCGGCACCCTGATTGTGCGGCAACCTTCAGTCAGATTGTCATGAATAAATGCACATGTGGCCACAAAATCCTAAATGACAGATGCGAATGTTGCGCTTCGCAAGTCATGACTCTGTTCCTGGGAGATTAGCCACTGTTTACTCGAGTAAAGGTGAGTTTAGGCTCCTTAGCCCCACGGGGAATGCCGCTGTCTGTCACCGGCGTCATACTCGGCGATGGAAGCCGCAACAAACTGATCACAGGCGTCCAAATTAGCATACGACTGGTTTAGGAGAACCTCGGAGGGAAAATTATGTGATCTCAGACAGCAAAACGATTCATTACCTTTCCCCCTCGTTTTGTAAAACAAACTTAGAGAGGTGATAACGCGAGCCGCTGATAACAAGCCCACAGAGGGAACATTAAAAAAAACAATATTCTAATTGGGAAATGGTGATTAAAGCTTCACTTTAAAAACAAATCCAAACGGAACAACTCCACTGACTGTTGACTGTGCATTAGGAGAATGTATCCAAATGAGTATTTACTTTGGATGTGGAGACCAGCTCATTTGCAGAGAGGGAGTGTGTTGTGCCTCATTGATTTAGCAGTTGTCTGAGATTTCCCTCAGCAGAGAACCAAATAAATAAATAAATAAAACGCCACAAAAACAAAGGGTGGCTCTGGTACACGGCAAACCCCTCCTGACAGAGCTGGCAAGGAAACATTCTTTTTTCCTGATTAGTGGGAGTCTGTCAAACAGCAAACACAAACAGGTTATGCTTGCTGTCATATCTATCCAGGCAAATAAACACACACCAACGCGCCATAGGAAGCTGCAGCCGCCAACAGTCGATAATCTAAAATCTAACATAAAGACAATAATTGGAAAGAGAAACCACACACAGAGAGATTATCAGCAGCTCAAAGTATGCACATGATGCTGCTGTCCACATAACAAGAGGTTTGTGCTGATGTGTCAGTGGTTGCAGACGATTGCAGATAACAAAAAGAATGGTCTGCACATAGTTAGATGGGGAAAAAAATACAGGACAAGGGTTTGGCCATCAGGGACCTGATAATGCCACCACACAGAGCTGGATGCCAGAAACTGGGATAATCTTTAGAAACGATTCATAGGGCAAATAGAAAAATACAAATATTAAGTTTAATAGAATAAAAAATGTTGATTTTATGAATATATTTGATAAGATGAATTAAGTTTTTTTATGTTTTAGCAAAGGTTAGACAGGTTGCAGCAGATGGCCTCTCACAGTGATCCGGGTTCTGAGTTGATTTCTTTCTACTTAAGTTGAGTTTTTTTTCTCTCCACTGTCGCTGCATGTATTCTCTGTATGAGGGATTGCTTTAAACTCAACCACGCAACTGAGGAGACTGCCCACTGTTCCTAAATGAGCTTAAACAGGCAAAACTCTAAGCTGATAGCAGCTGGATTAGTGCTTTAAAAATCAGATATGTCGACGAGAAATATTGTAGCGTTTTATTACAAAGAGATTCTGTAACACAGCGTATATTAAGGGAAAAATGATCTCCAGCAGGGAAGAATGCAGAGGCATTTGCTGTATTTTCTCATCAATACCTAGTCAGGAATCTCATTAACAATCGTGTCACTCTGCAAAGGAAAAAACATATTATAGGTGACCATAAACTGATATTTTAGATGACGAGTCTTATTTACAGTCTGTCCAACTCATGTACTTTATCTTCTTTTAAAATGCAGAGCAGAAAAAAAAATGCTAATCTTCCAGCTGAATGAAATCGGCTTTATCCAGAAAGACATCCAGTGTTGAATTGTCTCATCTTCTCTGTGTTTTTTCCCCACATTCTCAGACTACAACTCATTTTTAATGGCAGCAGTGTCAAAACAGAGAAATTAGCTGATAACAAGGCAGAGGAATGAGGGGGAAAAAAAACAAAAAAAACCTTTCCCTCTAATTCAGTCAGCACATTTCAAATAATGAACCAGAGGCTCTACCTTCAGCTGGCTTCTCCTTCTCCTCCGACACCTCATTGTGCTCGTCTTTTGATGAGTGCTTGTGTTGACAGATGCGGCACCTGAAACACCAGAGCAACCTTGTTTTACAATCATTAAATCATCGGCTGTTGCTGACATTCAAGCCTGTAACGGGCCCTAATGATTCATTAAACCCAAATATATTCAGAGCATTTTAACTCCCCTGAATCTTTTGTTTTTACTATTTACATTTTAGCTGTTTTTTTTCGGTAACTGAAAAGGTCTTCTAAAGCATATTGATGTGACTTTTCACTGTGAAATAAGTCATCATGTGATAGGATAATGGATTTCGGCTTCCATAGCAAATTTAAATAATGTCCGCAGCCAGAATATCAAAAACCGAAGCACTTAAGTCGAAAGCTTAACACACAGACGTAATCTGGGTTTCAGTTGTGAATAATTTAGCCTCATGAAAACCAAACGTTACCGATTAAATTGACTGAATGTCATCAGATCAGTTTGGATTTTATATGATGTCGTTAAGCAGCAGATGTTATTTACCCAGATCGACACTGCAGCTTGTCCCTCGGATGTCCCACGTTGTCCTCTGCTGGTAAAAAGGAAACTGTGCCTTCGTAGTGGTTGTGACACAGAAAGGTCTTAAACCCTTAAAAAAGAGGGAAAATTCTGTTAAATGGTGTTACTAACCTAACAAGATTTCTTCTTAACTTAATTTTTAGATTAACAAACAAAAATTCTTATTTTACAGAAAAACATGAGACATTTCTAGCAATCAGTAATTTACTTATTTCAGCATCCAGCTCAAATTTCTTTCAGCTGCTGACAAATCATGAGCTCTTGAGCTGGATGTCATGTCATGATGTTTCCAAAAAAGAAAAAAACTATTCACTGAGCTTTGTTTCCATGTTGGAAGACGTTTCGCTTCCCATCCAGAAAGCTTTTTCAATTAAAAATGTCAGGAATCGCTATGAGTTTGAGGTTTTATACAATAGCCCATCAAAAACTTGTTTTTGTTTTGAGAACATGCAAATTAAAACTTTGGAATTTTGGAAAATTTTGGAATAACTATGACCTGGATGACTGATAATCTTCACCAGCATTATGTCATAATCCTGCAAACAGATTCCATGTGACAGAGGAGGGAGAGAATGAAGAAGGTATAATGCACCCAAAGTATTTCTGTGTTGAAAATCTTTTGACTCAACTTCTAATTATGCATTCAACAAATCTTTTGATGGAAAACAGATTATAAGAAATCTGTTGTTGATAGACAGCCATAAAACGGGTCACAGAACAAGTGGAAGAAGGTATAGTTAGAGCAATGGATTTGACTGGGTTTGCCTGAGGAACGTTTTTATTTTGGTGTAGCTTTTCTCTGTTTGGTGCTCAAATGTCCGGCAGCAGTAAATGCAACACCTCTGGCCTGCAAAACAATGGCGGAGAATTAAGAGTATTGGGAGGGTTTTTTTTGTAGGTTGGGAAAGAAATCCCACTCACCAGATCAGCCATTTTTACCCAGAGGAAACCCAACTTCTTAAAGGTATAGTGGAGGATGTTCTTTTTCCAGGTGGATCATCAAAATAAGTGGTCCTCCTAATTGTCAATCATTCTGGTGGTATGTCTACATAAGGCCGTCCTACGTGCTCGTCCCCATTTTCACTCACCAGTGGTGAGCTTGAGATAATGAAAAAACTTGCAAATCTTCTATTAGAAAGTAAGCTTGTATGAGCGATGCAAACAGCAACTTTTAAACAGAGCATGCACAATGAGAAATGGGCCCATGCATGCTCTCACACGTATTTAATTAAGCGTTCCCTCACAGTAGCGGGAACAGGGTTGTGCATTTTCATTTTTTTTTAAGTGGAGAGGGCGGGTCTTTTAAAAAATTTGTGAAAAAACTCCATTATACCTTTGATATATTGTACTGTACTGTTTTGGTGCAGCTGGAGTTTATTTTCCCAGCATGCAATGGGCAGCATATGTGGATAGGAGAAGCTACCAGTTAATGTAGATCATTGCAGGTTGAAGAGTTACGTTGATATTTGTTGATGCTTTTATATCCATTATATGCTACTATAAGTGACGTTATAATCTGACATATTCATTACCACAGCATGAGTGAGGTCTCATCAACAGGTATATAAATGGTTGTTGTTCAGTATAGTGGGTCACGCCTTCTGGAGTTGTGCAGTGTATGGAGTACGGAAGTAACAATTATCGCTATAGGATATATTGGAAAAACAGTTCCAGCTAGATATATTTTTGAACATACAAAACCATGCCTCTCCCTTCCAAACCCTCGTAACCACGCCTTCAAAACTGCTGTCTACAGCACGTCTAGAGCAACAGGAGCAGCTGCTGGCAGGGAGACAGGCAGCATTGATGATGCAGAGCGCTCTGATCACTCCCGTGAAACAGTTTATTAACGCCTAAATGAACTAAAAATGCCAAAATCTGCTGGCAAACCACGTATGCTTTTTACTGGATTAAATGAGAAATTGCATCTAGGCATGCAGTCATTTTGTCATAAACAGTGAAAAAGAAAAAAAATATGGAAATAGTTTAGAAATAAAAAAGACAAACAGTAAAAAACAATAAAGGTTAAAATGATTGCTGGCATACCTGACAGGTCGTATCTAGCAGGACCAAGCCACCGATTCCTCTCACTGTCTGTTAGAACATCGCCATAGAAACCATACCCAAGCAGAGAAACAGAGTATTTGAGGAAGACGTCGTTGTGGTGAACCGAACATACATCCATTGGCTGAGAATCACCTGTGAAGACGCCACAGAGTGATGCTTAAAATACTAAAGCCAGTAGCTATAGTGATTGCACAAAGATTCTCTGTTTGTTTCCTCACAACACTGATAACATCGGATATGGGACCGTCTAAGCAGGGGCTTAAAAAAGACACGTGTTGGCAGGATTTCAGGAACCTAAACTCACCGACAATGATGTGTAAGGCAGATGTAACTGGATCGTTTGTTCCCACTGTGGCAAAGCAGATACAATCGGTAGACCCTGTTGGACACACAAGGGGATGTTGTATTAGAAACACCTCGGTAGCAACATCAAAAAGAAGATTTTGCCCTAGTGTTAAATTATTGTTAGATCCAAGATAAATCCATGAACTGAATGAATCCTGTGATCTTCACTCATTTTCAGGGATTATTCACAGCTGTACAGGTGGAAAACTACAAACATGTTTCATTTTTAGCTATTTCATGTGTTTCAGCTTGGAACGCCTGGTTGAATCCATTCCAGTGAATATCGGTCATCTTTTTTTGCTTTTTTTCCATCTACAGAAAAGGCATAAAATGTTGCAATAAAAATATTATCCTGCTGATAAAAGATATTCAACCACCACTTTTTAACAATCATTGTGATCACTGTTCCCTCTCCGCTGCGCACTGCTTGCACATTCTCAGCGCACCACAAAAACCAATATAAACTGTAAATCAATTAGACCAGTGCTTTTCCTGCAACACTAAACTCAATATATTAAAAAAACCTAACAAATAAGGATAATGTGTAAGTTAATTTTTTTTTAGCATTTTATCACAAATTACCTCAGCCTGCTGGATCTATTCTTCAATTCCAGTTTCATATATCACCATCAAATCAGCTTTATAATGAAAATTTAAGAGTTGGATTTGGATTGATATTTTTAATAAAACGTTTTTGTCCTTTAAAAAAAGTTCATCAAATTCAGCGCATCAAAGATCGCAACATGCATAAACAATCCAGCAAATAATTTTCCAGAACAATAAAACACTCTGGTTCCTTACAGCCCTGCTACCCAAAATCCACACAGTTTAAAGCATTCCTATTCATCGTGCAGCGCGATGCCCTGTGTGACTTTTTCTGCTAATTTCAAACAAATGATGAAGCATAAATGCAAACAGGGGTCAATCGGCACATTCTCAGTTATGGTGGCAGCAGCACTTAGATGTGAAGAGCTAAAGGAGATCTCACAGCTGGATATCTGTGCTACATTTCAGCATCCGGTGCTGATTGTGAAAGAAGATTTAGTTTAATTAATCTTATATAAACAGCATCCAGAAAGCTCTTAAAGAGGCCTATTTGGACAATTATTGGAGAAACAACGAGGGCAGATGTGAGAAATTGATCAAATGTAAATCATATTTATTTATATTCTAGTGACATTTATTAAGATATTTTATTTTTTATTGTAGAAATGCTAAAAAACTATAATAAAAAAATGTAGAGTAAAAGAGTTACTAAAACTCACCTTTCACTGACCTCACCTATAAATTGTTCTGTGGTTTTTGTTGTGGCTGTATTTTATATATTTTTTTTACCTTAGTTTCCATCATTTATTGTATAAAAAAACCTGTTCTGTTTTAAGGGCATCGTGCGTAGCTTGGTCATGATTTGGGAAACTGGTGCAGCTCTGCTTTATTCGCTTTAAGGAAAGGCCTCTGTAAATATATTTTATTTTATTTATTTTACCCAGGTCACTGCTTCGGAAGGGCAAATATGCGTACTTTCCTGCACAGATTAGGACATATATTCTGATGCAATTTTGATGAATTATAAATTTTGAGGTCTCTGGGTGACATGTTTGGGAAACCCTGCTTTATGTAGAAATCATTTAAAAGTTAAACTGATGTTTGACATTTATTTACCCAACAGATGCTCCAACCAATCCAATTTTCTATCTCTTCAAAATCACTTTCTTAAACATTTATCATATTTTCTGGATTATAAGGCACTCCAGACCAAAAGACGTGCCATCCATAAAATTCAAAATAAAACGGAAAAGACATATATAAGGGAAATTTATTTGATAAAATCCAACACCAAGAACAGAAATGTCATCTTGAAAGGCAATTTAAAATAAAAATAGAAAAGAGACAACAACAGGCTGAATAATTGTACAGTATTCTAACATTACATGACACAAACAATGAACTAGAATGTGTCTGGTATGTTAAAATAACATATTAAAGAGTTATTCAGCCAACTATAGCATAAATAACATGCTAACAACTTTGTCAAACTATCCATGTCACTCCAAATTACTAAATCCAAGGAAATCTTCGTCCTTGGTGTCACTTTTAAACAACTCTGCTAACTCCAAACTTTTTTCTGCTGCTCGATTACCATTTTCAGCGGCATATTTTTCTATTTGCAGCTTGTAATCTGCAGAAAATTATTTTCTTTTCGGTGGTATTTTGGTTAAGCCCTAAGTTTAAACATTTTTATAAGTGTCATCTTGTGGTTTAGTGTGAAAATAACATGAAATTATATAATATGTTAATAATTTCACATATAAGTCACTCCAGAGTCGCACCCCCTGCCCAAACTATGAAAAAAACTGTGACTTATAGTCCGGAAAATACGGTAATGTCTTTACGGTGCCTTAAAAAATTGTTCACATGTAAATGAATGTTTCATTTACACGTTCTGTTAATAAAATGGTGCAAATTCTGAATCTACTTCAATTCTAGTTTGTGAAGCTACAAAACTTAAGAAATGAGTGTAGATTTTTTCTGTTTTTTAAGGCAGTGTAGACTCATCCCAAACAGTATTGTAAACCTCTTCTTTGAAATGATTTTGTAATCAAACACTTTGTTTATGAAGGCTGCAGAAAATCTCTCTTCTGCTAAGTTTTAGAGATAATGTGGACTAAATTTGGTTTACCTGAGCAGCCATTAATCTGTGGACAGTATAAGTAGGACTGCAAGTTAAAAAATAAAACATGCAATACATACTAATGGATATGCATTTATAGATAGGAACAAAGTCAGTGGAGGAAAAATTAGAATCTGTCTTTTTTTAATTCCCACCCCTTCTAGAAAACAAGCTGCATTCTTTCCTCCTTTTTTCTCTCGTGCATATAGCTTTCAAAACATACATAAATATGGGACTAGTTCTGTTTAACATGCTTTCCGTGCCTCCCTTATTTTTTTCAAATCTTCTGTTTAATCTTCCTATTTTTTTTTTTTAAACCACAAATAAGATCTGTCACAAAAGCTGTGGTGATCAACCGAATGAAGAATTTTTCAGGACCACAACCAAGAAAAGCAAATGTAGCCGAATGATTTCATTAGGCGCAGGCAAAGAGACGTAGCAGTCATTAAGTATACTAATCGGATACCTTGGGGCCCTGGGCTATCATCAGCACTCTTCAGCCAACAAATGAAGGAGAAGAGGCATTCCCCGCCTTGTGAGAAATGTTGAGTTTGATATTAAATCTTTCAACTTGAGAGGTAATAAGACTCCATCGCTCTGTGAGTGGGCTCACAGAAGCATGACAGGGCGATCAGGCCTGTCATTCGGAGACGGACACACAGATGAGTATGAAGATCAGCTCCCTTTCTAGCCTCTTTAGGCTTTCTATGAATATCACTTATCTGGCCTTTGCTTCCTCTTCTCTGAGCTTCATAATCACATCTGAACACTTTGAAATTGCTCCTGACAGCTCTGCTACGCTTGCCTTTTTTTGGGGGGGCTGATTGTATAAAAGCAGTGACATGCTGCGATTTGAATCCTCTAAAGCTGCTCTGTACAAGCCAGCTTCCATGCAAATGTTGAACAACGTTCAGCCCTCAGACGCTTTGTTTTATTCCCCTTAAGTTTCTCGGGCGCAGTCATCTGTTTGCATGTTGGAAAAACCAAAACCCATCACAAAGCATATCCTCATCTTAACAGCTTCAGTTTTTAATGTCTCTCAAGTAACATCATCTCATCATTTCAAAAATTTTTTTTTAGCTCTTTCACAACAAAGGCTCTCATATGATGTTTTTGCTGTATGAATGTATAGATAATCAATTTCATGGCTACACTTGTGCTTAAAACTTATGAAACAGACCGCTTACACACTTAAAAATTTATATAACCTAATTTTACTGTGCTGTAATTTACTAATTATTTTTTTTCAGTTTTGATGCTTTAATTTTTAATTATTTATTGTTCATGAAATTCTGTCTTTAAGCACTTTACAATACAAACCAGTGCTTTTTTTTTCAAATGTCAGGCAAACCAATGCAATACAGACTAGCAAATAAAACAAAACATTAAAGATACCATTAGGGCTGGGTTAGTGTTAACGATTGTTTTGTTAATCGATTAAGCTGTCATTTATTTTTCCGATTAATAATCAGATGTCAAAAGGTTCCTTTAAAGAAGTTTTGTTTACAGAATTAAACCAGCTGAAAACTACCACTTGAGGAGTTCTGGATAGAGCATACTGACAGACGAAAAAGATTGATCTTAAAGGCACAGTGCAGACTTTGTCACCTAAAGAGTTCATGCATATGAGTTATATGATTCAAAGCAAAATACAGGCAGAGAAAGATAGCAGGCTACAAACAAAAGCAACTAGGGGCACCAGACAAAGCATATAGATTAACGGGGGAGAGTTGGCCTAGTGGTTAGAGCAGTACCCTTGTGCTCTCAGAAGGTTGCAAGTATCCGGTTCAATCCCCACAGACTGCACTCTGGGTCCCAGAGCAAAACCCTTAACCCCATACTGCTCCCCAAAGGGGATGGGTTAAATTCAGAAAGTAAATTTCTCCATTGTCAGATCAATAAAGTTCAAATTCTATCCCATTGATTTCTAGACAGGAAACTTTCAGGTCTAGTACCCCTAGTGGCCAAAAGTTAGATGGTTTGCCTTTAAATGCAAAATATTTATCTATATATTTTTTTTATTCTTGGTATAATTACTCCTCTAATTGGGTATCTCTATCAGCTAAAGCAATTTTTTAGGGTCTCTATATTCCAGGTAATGATTAAAGTACTACTAAATTAGTAGATGATTATTTCAAAAATCAATTAAACAGGATTAACACGATTACAGGTGCTGGTCATAAAATTAGAATATCATGAAAAAGTAGATTGATTTTAGTAATTCCATTTAAAAAGTGAAACTTGTATATTATATTCATACATTACATACAAACTCATATATTTCAGATGTTTATTTTGTTTAATTTTGATGATTACAAATGACAACAAATGAAAATCTCAAATTCAGCATATCAGAAAATTAG